GCAAGAAAAAGAGTAAGGGCAAGAGAGCACTCTTTACTGGTCTCTGAGTCTTGATGTGAAAGATGAAGGATTTAAATTGATTATTAAGAAGAGGCAGATGGCTAACCATAACTTCTTTCTACTCCAAAATTCTATACTGTTTGTGAAGAAATTTTTTTAGATTCACAGAATGGGGACCCACAGCATAGTTAGTAAAAGTGTCATTAACTAGGGATTAGGAAAGACATTCGTGTCAAGGGTCTGCTGTTGACTAAATGACCATGAACGTCACTTACTTGCTAAGTGTCAGGGTTCCAGTTGGTAAAAGAAATAAAACAGAGCCATCCTGCCGTTCTGAGGAATTATGAGGATTAGATGACATGAGAGTGCTCTCAAGTGTGTGTGCTAATGGAGAAGAGTCTAGTGGTCCCAAGGGGAGCCTTGCCTTGTGGAGTCGCTTGTGTGGCACCATGAGTTAGTGGTTGAGAACTAGCCTGCCCGGGCTAGAATCCTGCCGTAAACCCTAGGGAAAGTCAAGAAAGGCAAGAGGCCTTGTCTTCATCTTGAAGACCCCTTGATGCAAGAACTTCAGATCAATGGCAGGGAAAGTCAGTAACCTCTCTGTGCTTCAGTTTCCTCAACTTTAAAACGAAGGTAATATTAGCACTTTAGTGAAGGTAATAGTAGCACAATATTTGACCACATAAAAATATTATGAGGGTTAAATGAGTTAATATTTGTAGACCTCTTAAAATAGTGCCTGGAATATACTAGGCACCATATGTGTTTGCTATGTAAAACAAACATCTTCAAAGAGACTAAACCAACACCTCAGACAACTATGAAGGGAAAAATAAGAGTTGGGGTATTGGGGAGATGTTAAAGTCAGCAAAGAGCTATTAATAAGGGTGGAAATGGGGAAGACTGTACTGTTGCTTAACAGATACTGCCATCCCCTTACTTTCTTAGCATCCTCCAAGTAAGCATTTCGTGTGTGTGTGTGTGTGTGTGTGTGTGTGTGTGTGTGTGGTTGTTTGATGTGTGAGGGACTAGCTAAACTTCCCCTCCTCTTCTCCACCCACTGCCTCCTAGAATCAAAAAGTGGGGGTGGAACATCGCTGAGTATTGCAGGTCTGGGAGAGTGACCAGAGGTAGCTTTAGCATGTGGTACCCAAAAAGAGAGTTCATTGTAACTGCTTACACGGAGTGAAGGGACATAGAGGGAAAGGGGAAGCACAGGGCTGGACAGCCAGGAACTTCTTCATTCTTCAAAGCGACGGAAAGTCCTTGATCATGAGATTTTAAGAAAAAGGAACTTACCACCCCCATGCAATAGTACATTATTTTCCCCTGGGATTTTTACTTTAATAATCTTTATTGGGATTTAGGTTAACTTTAATCAGTTCCTTGAAAACGCACACTACACACACACACACACACACACACACACACACTCAAAACAGACCTGGGATCATCGCCATCCACCATTTTATCATTGCTGCCCTCTATTAGCATGTACTTGAACACTGAGTATAACGAAGGGGTCCAGTTATTCACAGTGGGCCCACTCACCTCTCGGACTTTTAAGTCTTAACTGCTGAAATGCCCATGACTATGTTCAACATCCACCAGGACATCGAGATCATGTTGATACTGGACTTCTATTAGTTTAAAGAAACTAATTCAACTCACGTTTGAATAATATTAAAATGAATGGTCTTTGAAACATGTCTGGAGATGATTATTTGCTTGGGTCTTCTGCCTCACTGGCCTGCCTAAATTTCTGTTATTGGCAAGGACCTGCCGGCAGCTCCTTCTTCCTCTGTGGGCGGGTATAGAGACAGGTGTAGCTCCTACCCCAACAATCCTGGCTTGCCAGAAATAAATAAATCATCACTTTTTACTGACAAACTCTCAAATGTGATAAACATTAATAGTGGGGAGAGTAATTTACTCCACTTTGCATCAAAGTGGGTGGACGCAGCATGACTCAGAGGTTAAATCTAAGGACACTGAAGTTTAAATTCTGTTCCCTTCACTTTTTGTTAAATGACCTTCGACTCTCTGCGTATCAATGCTTTATCTGTATATTTCACCTTCGACTCTCTGTGTATGAATGCTTCCTTTCTGTGAAGGAAGTTTAAATTCTACTTGCCTCACTTTTTGTTAAATGACCTTTGACTCACTGTGTATCAATGCTTTTATCTGTATATTTCACCTTTGACTCTCTGTGTATGAATGCTTCCTTTCCGTGAAGGAAGTTTAAATTCTACTTCCTTCAGTTTTTGTTAAATGACCTTTGAGACTCTGTGAATCAATGCTTTCGTCTGTATATGCACATATTAATAGTACGTATCTATAGTGTGTAGTAAAGATTAAACAAAATAATAACTGTAGACTACTTAGAGTAATGCCAAATATGCAGTGATTGCTCCATAAATGGTTATTTATTAGTTTTATTGATGGGAGATAAGATAGAAAATTGAAGAAACAGAAATAAGAACGGGGCAGAGAAAAGGAAGAATTAAGAGTATGAGACAGAATATGCAGAGGGGATGGGCAAGGATTAAAACCTGTGAACTGCTCCATCTCCTACCCCCAGAGTGGGAGTGTCTCCTAGGATATGTGGAGAGACAGTCAGAGTCATGATGTTTCCAAAGTCATGATTAGAAAGTTCAGATCAGAGCATAAGACTGTGAATTTTGACTCAGAAAACTTTTCCAACGTGGAACAGTCATGAGTCTGCACACTCAGACTTTCCTTATGTCGGCGATTTCTGGGGGAAAATGGGGATTTCTCCCTGCATCTCTCCACTGCTTCTCAGCCTCTTCAACTGCTCTGAATTCCAGGAAAATGCATCAAATGTAGACTCCTAAGCCTAATACTGAATATAAAGGGCTACCTCTAACAGGAGCAGCAGCAGGAGGAATTCAGGGTATATTTTTGTGCTGAGAAAAGGTTTGCAGAATAATCCTTAACAGGCAAACAGATAATTCGGTAAAAGTGGGCAGTGTGTAAAAAGTATTCCTGGCTTTACTTTTATTAAAAAACAAAACAAAAACAAAAACAAACAAAGAAAACTCCCATTCCGTCTTTCATGGATCCTCGATTAAATGGATATCTCTTTCCTAGTCTCCTTTTCCAGAATCCCAACAACCAACACCTAAGCTCCAACTCCCACCACCTTTTCTCCTGTTGATGTTCCTTGGACCATTCCCAGACAGAGGAGTCCTGCCTAGGATCTCCGTGCAGTAAAGCCATGGCTCTTCCTAAGAATGCATGAAAAGTGAGTGTGAAAAACAGCAGCACTAGCTAATATCTGTTAAACGATATATTCAGCTACTATACCAAGTGTTGTTCATGCATTATCATCATTTTGATTCGCAAAACAATTCTATTACATTAATACCTTCCCCATTTTGACGCTGAAACAAAAGTCAAAGGAGAAATACAACTTCCTCAGGGTCACAAAACTCATAAACAAAAGAATTCACTACTAGTTGATTTGACAGTTTATTTCAGTTTCAGTAGATGAAAGAAGTATATCCAAGAGCTACCTTTTATCTTAGCAGGTATTAACCTTTTGCATCAAGAATTTGAAAACGATGAGTGAGGAGGTCAAGTGGAGCAGAAAGAATAACCAGTGAGATTGGGATTAACTTTAAGATTAGAAAAACCAATGTCTATTTCCACCTCTACCAATTTAGGTATTGAAATTTCAGGTGAGCCAGGCGCGGTGGCTCAAGCCTGTAACCCCAGCACTTTGGGAGGCCAAGGCAGGTGGATCACGAGGTCAAGAGACCGAGACCATCCTGGTCAACATGGTGAAACCCCGTCTCTACTAAAAATACAAAAAATTAGCTGGGCATGGTAGCGCATGCCTGTAATCCCAGCTACTCAGGAGGCTGAGGCAGGAGAATTGCCTGAACCCAGGAGGCGGAGGTTGTGGTGAGCCGAGATCACGCCATTGCACTCCAGCCTGGGTAACAAGAGTGAGACTCCGTCTCAAAAAAAAAAAAAAAAAGAAATTTCAGGTGAATTTTTTAACCTCTAAATCTTACTTTATTTTTCTTGCATAATGTAATTAATAATATCTATCTATCTTTCCCATCTCAATGGTTTTCATATGGATAACATAAGAATGTAGGCATAAATATTGTAAAATGTTTTGAAAATTAAGTGGTATCAAATGCCACCTTGTCTAGTCTCTCTCTGGAAGATTAAGGACATTCCCAGTACCAACTTTTCCTCACCTAGTTGCATTTTCTGTTTGCCATTCTCGAGCAGCCAGTAGAGGCTCCAAAAATTTGATCTGATCTTTTAATGTTACACAGTTTTCTTTGTACCAATAACAATCAATATTCATGTTGTTCTTTTAGTTTACCGTTATGCCATAAGTAAGAGAAATAGGGTTTTTGATTCAAGTTTTCCAACTTTTTGAGACTATTTGTGTAAAATGGGATAGTAATCTCTTCCTCATTTATTTTAGAGTTTCTGAAGGATAAAAGCAGTGTAATGTCTCTAACTGTGTTTTGAAAATAAAGGGAGTTTATAGAGAGGAGGCCTACACAAGGATAACAATGAGTCAAGCATCACTCTAACCTGATGGATCAATCAACTATAATTAGGAAAGACATTTTCTGCCTCAAAAACCACCACAGTTGAATGCCAAGAAGAAATGGCTTTTAAGTCATTCAAGCTTTTAGATGATCTTTCCTTTGCTAGGCTTTATGGGTGGGTTTACCAAGTTCTGGCTCCTCTGAGAAGGATTTGCCTCAGACCTTTGGAAACTGAGATCTCCAAAACCAGACAAAATTCAGAAATATAGACTTTAAAGCTGAAAACCACTTAGGTTTGGATTTTAAGTCTCTCCCCAGCCAGTTGGATCCTGCTGAGTACAGTAAATACTGAGACTCAGCAGTTCTGTTAAAAACATCAAAAGAACAGTTCAGTCTTTCTTAAGGGAAAGTTTTAAAACTTTATGGAAAACTAGGAGGGGATCAGCAAGGGTCAGAACTCACAGGTTTGCAGGCAAAGGAGCAAGATCCATACGTGGTGTTGAGCCATCTCTCTTGGGGTCTAATCTTCTGTGGAAAAGCACGGCACTGTTCTAGCAGAGTCAGTTTCACTCGAATTTTTGTCCTCCTTTTTATAGCTAAGTTGAAGAAAGGAAGTGCAACTAACTTCCTTTAGTTAACATTGGTGTTGTATTACTGTGCTAGTTTTTTCTAATTTAAAGGGCCTAACATTAATTATTTCTTCAACAAATATCTATTGTGTGCCTACTATGTGCCAGACACTCTTCTGGGTGCTGGCAATATACAGAGCAACAAAGCAATTGATCGCCCTCTTTTCATGGATTTTTTTACTCCTTTTTGGAGTAATCAACAACTAAACAAGCAATTTCAATATAACGCAGTAAGTGTTGTAAGAGGGAAAATACAGGGAACTCTGAGAACAGTAGGGGCGTCTATCTCAGGCTAAGAAAAGTTGGAGTAGACTTTCTGAAGAAATTGACAACCAAGCTGAGGCAAGCCTGAAGAATGAATTACTATTATTAGGCAAATGGTGGCGGGGGATGTGAAAGAGAAAAAAATATATGATTATGTATTATAATATCTAATCATATTATTTTTAACACAATAAATTATATATTAATTATATCATAATTATATACCATTTAATATTTAATATAATCAATTATATATTAATTATATATTATTAATTATATTAAGTCAAAGGTCAAAGGGAAGGTGGAAGAGACATAATACTGAGTTATATTAAGTATTATGTTAATAATATATAATTATATTTATACACAATATAATAATATATAATTATGTAGTATATTAATACATAACATAGTATAACTATATGCATATAATTATGTATGATTCCATGATATCATCATGAAACATGATTATGATCACACCTTATTAGGGACACAAAAAGCATTTGATAAAAATTAAAGCTGAAAGGGATTTTTAGACTATCAAATCTATTCTGCAGAAGGAGAAACTGGCTCAGAAGGAGAGGAAGTGATTTTTCTCTATTTCACTCAGTGAATTAGTAAACTGAGGTAAAAGGCAGCAAGTGTCACTTGGAAAAGACCATGACTCCTGGGCATGAGAGACAGCAGGTGCAGAGGCATGCTTAGGTGGAGTTGAGCTAGATTTAACAGGACCTTTTCTTGTGGAGGGTCCTCATCCTGGTTAGTGGGAATAAGAGTGATTGTGTAATGTGTGTATGGGAGAGGTTGTCTGGGAATGGTGATGTAAATGGATATTTGGACCCAGAAGCTAAGCAATGTGACCCAGCTGTTTTGGGGAGTGCTGGGAAGGCTGGGGACCCTACCCCTGAGACCTGGAGGATGTGTAAAGCTTTTCCAACTGAGAGGAGTCCTCATGTCAGATAGCTTATTCCTAGGAAACCTGGGCCTCTAGAATCACTCATTAAACAATCCTGCTGATCATTTCCCATATATAATTACATAATACTGAATATAGTTGACCCTTGAACAATGTAGGGGTTTAGGGTGCTGTCCCCTCAAATGGTCAAAAGTCCATGCATAACTTTTGACACCCCGAAACTCAACTACTAATAGCCTACTGTTGACTGGAAGCCTTACCAACAACACAGTTGATTAACACATATTCTACGTTGCAGGAAGCAGCAATGGCGAAAGGGTTTACAGTGTGCCTACATAAACTGGTTATAAGTAACGTATAAAAGAAATTGGGAACACCTTAAATCACTTCCACTTTAAACTGTAGAAGACCATGGAGGCCTCTGGGGAGGAAGGCCTCTCTATTATCAGCATGTTCCCAGAAACAGAGTGACCTAAGCTCTGATATTCTAAACATAGTGCCTAAGGACATACACTCCCTTGAAGCCCTGGAATGTAACCAGACATGTAGGCTTCTTGCTAAGCCCACTCCCACCAGCTGCACGGTCTATTGATAAGCATACGCTTTTAGCTCTTGAGAAATTCACATAAACCACCACTGCTAACAATTTTATGTTTGATGCACAGCTTCTTTTCACAAAGTAGAGATAGAAGAGTTCGAAGGGAAGGTGGAAGAGACAGGCAGTCAGTGTAAGTTTTCAGAACATATTTAATTTTTGTCTGACTTTTTTCTTGTTCATTTCTCTGAAAATATTTCTATATGATACCCCTTCTTACTTCTACCATTTGTTTTAATTTTAGCTCCTGTATCATACTACAGAAGGGTCCATGTCATAAAAGAAGTCAAAACTAGTTCTGAATAGTCAGAATTCTTCTGTCAGACTGTCTAATGTCAGCTTGTTTTCTGGCACTGCTGCTTCTGTGTCTTCTTCCTCATTGTTTGATCCTGGCTTAGAAGCATTCTTCTCCATCAAGTCATCTTCTGTTAATTCCTCCAGTGTGGTGTCTATTAGCTCTTGAATTTTGGTGAGATCTATTTCTTGAAATCCTTTACCCCACCTTTTTTTCTTTTGGCCATATCCACAATATCTTTCATAATTTCCTTGATCAGCTCTGTCGTAAATCCCGTGAAGTCACACACAACATTTGAACACAGTTTTCTCAGGCAGAATTTATTGTCTCAGGCTTAATGGCTTTCACCACTTTTTCTACAATAGTGATGGCATCTTTAATGGTGTAATCCTTCTAGACTTTCGTGACGGCCCTCTCTTGGAGTTCTCTTCCACAGCATTGACAATCCTTTCCATACAGTACGTGTATAATGAGCCGTAAAGGTCCTTATGAGCCCCTGATCTATAGGCTGAATTAGAAACATGTTTGGGGAGACCAGTATACCATTTCAGTGCTTTTGATGTTGAACTCATGGGGCTCTGGGTGGCCGGGGCACTGTCCAATATCAAAAGAACTTTAAAAGGCAGTCCCTTACTGGTAAGGTATTTTCTGACTTCAGTGACAGAGTATTGATGAAACCAGTCCAGGAAAAGTGTTCATGTTGTCCAGATCTTGTTGTACAATCAGAAGACTGGCTGCTGGTGTTTATATTTTCCCTTCAAGGCTCAAGAGTTAGCAGATTTATAGACAAGGGTAGTTGTGCATTTGCACAAAACAGTAGAGTTATTTATTCCTTTCTGCCTTAAATCCTGGTGCTAGCTTCTCTTCCTTACTGATACATGCCTTTTGTGGCATTCCCCCTCTCAACACACACACCGGTACCACTCCCCACAGAATAGAGCACATTCATCTGCATTAAAAACCTGCTCTCCTTACTTTGTATATTCTCAGAAAAGAAAAGAAAAAACCACAAACCTGCTCTCCAGTAACAGTTTGAATATGAAGAAAAAAAGCAAAAAAACTGCTCAGGCAGATATCTTTTCTCCTCAAGGATTTTCTTAATGGTGTCTAAGAATTCATCTGCTACCTATTGGTCAGCAAGAAGCTGCTTCTTTTGTTATCTTGACATTTTTAAGCAAGCCTTTTTCTAAACCATCAAACCATCCTTTGCTGGCATTAAACTCTTCAGCTTTAGATCCTTCACCTTCCTTTCGCTTTGTCATTTAATGACTTTGCTTTTTCTTGAAACAAATTAGAGTCTATATGTATGCCTTTTTTATAGCCTCATTTTCAAATGAGGTTAAAAAGGTATTTCACAAAAAGTGCCTGGTCTTTGAGCCCGCTGGTATAGTTGCAGTGATGGCTTCACAAATTTTCTTTTTTTACAATGGTTCTTACACTGGATTATTTTATCCAGAAATGGCAGGCAACTGCAACTGCAGTTGCAGACCCCAATTTATGCTACATATCAAGCAATTCAGCTTTTTTTTTGTAATGTCATAACTTTTCTCTGCTTCTTGGGAACACTTCCAACATCACTAGTAGCAATATTTATGGGTATCATGGAGTTTACTCAAGGCTATGGTATTGCACTAAAGGTGATAAAAAATTTTTTTTTAATCAGGACTGATCTCTCTCAGTTCCTGCATATTTTTGTTTACAGTGATACATAATTTACTGAAGAGACTAATTTCCTATGTGGAAGTGGTTTGTATTACAATATTTTTTTTTTTTTTTTTGAGACGGAGTTTAGCTCTTGTTACCCAGGCTGGAATGCAGTGGCGCCATCTCGGCTCACCACAACCTCCGCCTCCTGGGTTCAGGCAATTCTCCTGCCTCAGCCTCCTGAGCAGTTGGGACTACAGGCACCCACCACCGTGCCCAGCTAATTTTTTGTATTTTTTTTAGTAGAGACGGGGTTTCACCATGTTGACCAGGATGGTCTTGATCTCTTGACCTCATGATCCACCCGCCTTGGCCTCCCAAAGTGCTGGGATTACAGGCTTGAGCACAAGATGAATTAAGAGAAGACTGGCAACCCTTGAGTTCACTGTAATGTCATATGACTATGACATTATTACAGTACTATAGTATGAACTAAGTTAATCTTACATAGTTATGGTTTAATACAGTATCTTTACATTTGTCTACATTTCTCTTGACTGTGATAAAAGAACTTCAGCCAAATTAAATTTAAAGTAGTCTAATTGAGCAATGAACAATTTGTGAATTGGGCAGCCACCAGAATCACAGCAGATTCACAGAGATTCCCGGGGTGCCTTGTGGTCAGAACTAATTTGTACACAAATAAGATAAAGTGATTTACAAGAATTGGAAGTGAGATGCAGAAACAGCAACATTGGTCACAGCTCAGCGTTTGCCTTATTTGAACAGAGCTCAGCACTCAGCAGTGCATGAGAGGTTGAAGTATGGCTACTGGGATTGGCCAACACTCAGCTATTGTTATGGGTGCATACTATTAAGTTAGGTTTTCAATTTTGTCTATTAAGCTAGGTTACAGTTCACCCAGAAGGACTCAAATATAGAAGTATGGAGTCCTTCTCAGGCCGTATTTAGTTTGCTTTAACTATTAACTATGATAACCCATTAGTTATCAGTGCTATGCACCTAAATTGGAGAAACAACTGGTATTCAAGAGGACATTAGTCCGAAGTTAAGTATGGACTCATGAAGAACCAGGACTGCTGCCTTGTCCTTCCCGAGTCCTTAAAGCTTTTGTTATTAAAGGTTCTGCATTTCCATCAAGGAAAAGATAAAATAATCCAAACTGAATATATTATTGTGGTGACTTGAAAATTGTGAAAATAGTTTAAAACCGATGTTTGGTTCCATATTC